TAACTTCCACAAATGTCAGAATATTTCGTCTTATTAAAGTTTTCAACAATGTTTGTAACGTATATCAGTAATGTTGTCTTGGTCTGAACCAACATTTTAGAAATTCAATTTTTTATTTGTTATTATTTTCTCGCATCCCCCCACAGTCACATACCTCCCCCCACAGTCACATACCTCCCCCCACAGTCACATACCTCCCTCCACAGTCACATACCTCCAACCACAGTCACATACCTCCCCCCACAGTCACATACCTCCCTCCACAGTCACATACCTCCACCCACATCACATACCTCCCCCCACAGTCACATACCTCCCCCCACAGTCACATACCTCCCTCCACAGTCCACATACCTCCCCCCACAGTCACATACCTCCCCCACAGTCACATACCTCCCTCCACAGTCACATACCTCCCCCCACAGTCACATACCTCCCTCCACAGTCACATACCTCCACCCACAGTCACATACCTCCCCCCACAGTCACATACCTCCCCCCACAGTCACATACCTCCCTCCACAGTCACATACCTCCCCCCACAGTCACATACCTCCCCCCACAGTCACATACCTCCCTCCACAGTCACATACCTCCACCCACAGTCACATACCTCCCCCCACAGTCACATACCTCCCCCCACAGTCACATACCTCCCCCCACAGTCACATACCTCCCCCCACAGTCACATACCTCCCCCCACAGCCACATACCTCCCCCCACAGCCACATACCTCCCCCCACAGTCACATACCTCCCCACATCACATACTTCAGTCACATACCCCCCCCACAGTCACATACCTCCTCCCCACAGTCACATACCTCCCCCCACAGTCACATACCTCCCCCCACAGTCACTTTACCACCCCCCACAGTCACATACCTCCCCCCACAGTAACATACCTCCCCCCACAGTCACATACCTCCCCTCCACAGTCACATACCTCCCCCCCACAGTCACATACCTCCCCCAACAGTCACCTCCCCCCAGAGTCACATACCTCCCCCCACAGTCACATACCTCCCCCACAGTCACATACCTCCCCCCAGTCACATACCTCCCCCCACAGTCACATACCTCCCCCCACAGTCACATACCCCCCCCCACAGTCACATACCTCCCCCACAGTCACATACCTCCCCCACAGTCACATACCTCCCCCACAGTCACATACCTCCCCCACAGTCACATACCTCCCCCCACAGTCACATACCTCCCCCCACAGTCACATACCTCCCCCCACAGTCACATACCTCCCCCCACAGTCACATACCTCCCCCCCAGTCACATACCTCCCCCCACAGTCACATACCTCCCCTCACAGTCACATACCTCCCCCCACAGTCACATACCTCCCCCACAGTCACATACCTCCCCCACAGTCACATACCTCCCCCCACAGTCACATACCTCCCCCCACAGTCACATACCTCCCCCCACAGTCACATACCTCCCCCCCACAGTCACATACCTCCACCCCCCACAGTCACATACCTACCCCCAGTCACATACCTTCCCCCACAGTCATATACCTCCCCCTACAGTCACATACCTCCCCCCACAGTCACATACCTCCCCCACAGTCACATACCCCCCCCCACAGTCACATACCTCCCCCCACAGTCACATACCTCCCCCCCACAGTCAATACCTCCCCCCAGTCACATATCTCCCCCACAGTCACATACCTCCCCCCAGTCACATTACCTCCCCCCACAGTCACATACCTCCCCCCACAGTCACATACCTCCCCCCACAGTCACATACCTCCCCCACAGTCACATACCTCCTCCCCAGTCACATACCTCCCCCCAGTCACATACCTCCCCCCACAGTCACATACCTCCCCCCACAGTCACATACCTCCCCCACAGTCACATACCTCCCCCCACAGTCACATACCTCCCCCCACAGTCACATACCTCCCCCCACAGTCACATACCTCCCCCCAGTCACATACCTCCCCACAGTCACATACCTCCCCCACAGTCACATACCTCCCCCCACTGTCACATACCTCCCCCCACAGTCACATACCTCCCCCCACAGTCACATACCTCCCCCAATCACATACCTCCCCCCACAGTCACATACCTCCCCTACAGTCACATACCTCCCCCCACAGTCACATACCTCCCCCACAGTCACATACCTCCCCCCACAGTCAAATACCTCCCCCCACAGTCACATACCTCCCCCCCACAGTCACATACCACCCTCCACAGTCACATACCTCCCCCACAGTCACATACCTCCCCACAGTCACATACCTCCCCCCACAGTCACATACCTCCCCCCACAGCCCCATACCTCCCCCCACAATCACATACCTCCCCCACAGTCACATACCTCCCCCCAGTCACATACCTCCTCCCACAATAACATACCTCCCCCACAATCACATACCTCCCCCCACAGTCACATACCTCCCCCACAGTCACATACCTCCCCCACAGTCACATACCTCCCCCCAGTCACATACCTCCCCCCACAGTCAAAACATCACCTCCCCCACAGTCACATACCTCCCCCCACAGTCACATACCTCCCCCCACAGTCACATACCTCCCCCCACAGTCACATACCTCCCCCCACAGTCACATACTCCCCAGTCACATACCCCCCCCACAGTCACATACCTCCCCCACAGTCACATACCTCCCCCACAGCCACATACCTCCCCCCACAATCACATACCTCCCCCCACAGTCACATACCTCCCCCACAGTCACATACCTCCCCCCACAGTCACATACCTCCCCCCAGTCACATACCTCCCCCCACAGTCACATACCTCCCCCCACAGCCACATACCTCCCCCCACAATCACATACCTCCCTCCACAATCACTACTTTACCTCCCCCCTACAATCACATACCTCCCTCCACAATCACATACCTCCCTCCACAATCACATACCTCCCCCTACAGTCACATACCTCCCTCCACAGTCACATACCTCCCCCACAATCACATACCTCCCTCCACAATCACATACCTCCCTTACAGTCACATACCCCCCCCACAGTCACATACCTCCCCCACAGTCACATACCTCCCTCCACAGTCATACCTCCCCCCACAGTCACATACCTCCCCCCACAGTCACATACCTCCCCCACAATCACATACCTCCCCCCACAGTCACATACCTCCCCCCACAATCACATACCTCCCCCTACAGTCACATACCTCCCTCCACAGTCACATACCTTCCCCCACAGTCACATACCCCCCCCTACAGTCACATACCTCCCTCCACAGTCACTTACCTCTCCCCACAGTCACATACCTCCCCCCACAGTCACATACCTCCCCCACAGTCATATACCTCCCCCAGTCACATACCTCCCCCAGTCACATACCTCCCCCCAGTCACATACCTCCCTCAGTCACATACCTCCCCCACAGTCACATACCTCCCCCAGTCACATACCTCCCCCCAGTCACATACTTCCCCACAGTCACATACCTCCCCCAACAATCACATACCTCCCCCACAGTCACATACCTCCCCCCAGTCACATACCTCCCCCCACAATCACATACCTCCCCCCACAATCACATACCTCCCACACCACAACCCCCCCACATAACCTCCCCCCACAGTCACATACCTCCCCCACAGTCACATACCTCCCCCCAATCACATACCTCCCCCCAATCACATACCTCCCCCACAGTCACATACCTCCCCCACAGTCACATACTCCCCCACAATCACATACCTCCCCCACAGTCACATACCTCCCTCCACAATCACATACCTCCCCCACAATCACATACCTCCCCCACAATCACATACCTCCCCCCAGTCACATACCTCCCCCCACAATCACATACCTCCACCCCACAATCACATACCTCCCCCCAATCACATACCTCCCCCACCATCACATACCTCCCTCCACAATCACATACCCCCCCCCTACAGTCACATACCTCCCCCCACAATCACATACCTCCCTCCACAATCACATACCTCCCCCCAGTCACATCCCTCCCCCAAATCACATACCTCCACCCCACAATCACATACCTCCCCCACAATAAACATACCTCCCCCACCATCACATACCTCCCTCCACAATCACATACCTCCCCCTACAGTCACATACCTCCCCCCACAATCACAAAACCTCCCTCCACAATCACATACCTCCCTCCACAATCACATACCTCCCCTTACAGTCACATACCTCCCTCCACAGTCACATACCTCCCCCCACAATCAATCACATACGTCCCCCTACAGTCACATACCTACCCCCACAGTCACATACCTCCCCCCACAGTCACATACCTCCCTCCACAGTCACATACCTCCCCCACAGTCACATACCTCCCCCCACAGTCACATACCTCCCCCCACAATCACATACCTCCCTCCACAGTCACGTACCTCCCCCCGGTCACATACCTCCCCCACAATCACATACCTCCCTTCTACAGTCACATACCTCCCTCCAGTCACATACCTCCCCCCACAGTCACATACCTCCCCCCACAATCACATACCTCCCCTACAGTCATATACCTCCCTCCACAGTCACTTACCTCTCCCCACAGTCACATACCTCCCCCCACAGTCACATACCTCCCCCATAGTCATATACCTCCCCCAGTCACATACCTCCCCCAGTCACATACCTCCCCCAGTCACATACCTCCCCACAGTCACATACCTCCCCCACAGTCACATACCTCCCCCCCACAGTCACATACCTCCCCCCACAGTCACATACCTCCCCCACAGTCACCTGACTAGCTTGTGCTGCTGGGTCTGGTACAGTGCTCCATCCTTGAGTGGGGATGACCAGACTGGGTAAGTCATTGGGATAATCCGGGGGGTGGGTCACTGGTCTAATCCGGGGGGGGACATGGACCTGCTTCGCATGGGTCAGTAGGCCTGTTGCAGTGTTCCTTCTTTCTTATGTTCTTATGCTTCACCCGACGTGAGAACATCCTCCAATGCCATGATATTTCTTTTACTCTCAGGGTGCGTCACGTGGCTGGCCTGCGTGTTATAGACGCGTCCATCATGCCAGTGGTCACCACAGGCAACATCAACGCACCAACTATCATGATAGCAGAGAAGGCCTCAGACATGATCAAACTATATTGGGACGCTCCCATCACATTCTGAAATGTTCAGGCTGGAGGAAGCTCATCGTCTTCTCTAAAAAAGTGTCTTGACCTTTCCCATTTATAAGGTTGACTACCGCTTGTCATGTAGTCGACAGATGTGGTTTATTACAGCAGATACTTGATGAGTGGTTTAAGTTATTACAGCAGATACTTGAGTGGTTTAAGTCATTACAGCAGATACTTGATGAATGGTTTAAGTTATTACAGCAGATACTTGATGAGTGGTTTAAGTTATTACAGCAGATACTTGATGAGTGGTTTAAGTTATTACAGCAGATACTTGATGAGTGGTTTAAATTA